GATTTTAATTTTTAGCCAGAAATCATCGGTCGTTTCTTAGGCTTAGGGCCTCTTAAGAGTGCTGTTACTAAAGGCAAGTTTTCACTGCTGGCGACGGAGTTAGAGTCGGAATCGTAGTCAGAGTCTTAAGAACACTATCAAGCGAGTGAAAACTGAAAAACAGAATCATAAGCGGAGTCATAAGCTCGACAGAATAGGACTCAGAAGAATCAGAACGGTTTCGTTTTTTCCGTGGTGAAAACTAGGTTGTTGCAGTCGCGAGCAGAATCGGAAAAAAATAACCAATCACATGCCAGTTCTCAGGCCCTTCCAGCACAGTCTTGCTCCTTCGACTCTGACAATTCTTCAAAGGATCGTAAGCGACGGAGTCGTAAGTGATAACGGTATTTCTCTTCTGATTCTGTCGATTTGATTTTTACTTGATCGTATCGCTCTTTGCTCATGTTTACAAATCCGACTCCGTCTCCGTCTTCTTTCAATGGAGAGGAAGTTAGTACATAGAAGGTAAATTCCAATCCGCAGTTTAATGCACCTAACACTCGGCCACATTCCCCTCTCTACTCAACAACATTTAGAAGTCCCTTTCAATTTGAAGTATCATGACAGCTGATTTGAATGGCAAGGCATGTGAGACTGAAATTACAAGCTACCCAGAAAAGGCTGATGGAAGTAAGCAGATAAGAAAAAAATCACTCCCCTACTCTTGTTAAATTTCAGTCCAATTTTTGCCATTAATTTATGTAAATCGTTTCGTGTGACGAGAAGCAAATCAAAGTTACAAAACGTTTTGGAATAGCTGATAAGATAACGCGTGGGTTCCAGAAGGAATAAGTCGTCCTGTGTTGCTCTTCAGGCTACTGTTGTTTCGAAAATCGCTTTTGGTACGGGTGCGAAACGACTCAACTGACTTGGTACGAATCGACTTTGGTGCGAAAAGACTGGGTACGAAACGTCTGGTAACCGCTTTATTTTGTTTCTCGAGGAGATAACGTTAGTTTTGTTGCTTACCTTGTCTAATTTCCACAGTTTTTCGCCGGCAATATCCAACATAATCATTTTCTGCCTCACAAGTGTAATTTCCAAACTGTGCTAAAGTCGACCACTTGAGCATTAATGTACAACGAAGTTCTTTTCGTAGTTGAGGATTTATACATCTGGCTCCAACTGGGCTATTCTGAGGATCATACCACTGAATAAACTTGATCCTTCTCCTTAAAAATAGCTCGTCCCCAGACCTTGGCCACGCTATACAAGTCAAATTAAGAGCTTCTCCTACAAATAGTGTGCGACTTGGTGGACTCGCGGAGATCTTTATTTCAGGTGTCACTGGACGGCAAAGAGAAAATTCCATCAATAAGTTTATCAAAAAAACTTTACAACAAAAACTTTGCAACCTTTATTAAGTTGAGCAAACACACGCAAAAAAAGATCCACATGGTTGCCACTAACCAGCCTTGGTGTTACACTTCTTTGTCGTTTCTGCGGATGGAAGGTTGCTCAGAGCACTGGTAACAAGCAATAGCAAGAGACAGTTTCTAGTGTCTCTAAGCCAATGTGTGTTTAGCATTCTGTTGGTTGGACGAGCGTTCAGTTCTTCACACAACAGGTGCCTAAACGTAAAATCGACTACATAAGGGACGAATCGAAGTGATGGGAGGCCGGGAAAGATGAGAGAAGATGGGGCAAGAAGTGACGGCAATCTAAGGAACTGAAATTACGAAGGATAAAAACTACGAACACATGAAAACTTCGGGAAAGAAAATGAAATATCATATATCTGTACAACTTTAGTACAACTCGTGATGCAACTTGTGATTAACAAATCGGACTTCCGCATGATTACAAACCGAATTGGACTCCACTCAGTCCTTTTATAATTATTTATCATCATGCGGTCTTCTTGAAGCTCGAATTAACGGCTTATGAGGTCATTTAAATGCGGCCCGAGATACCAGGATGGTGGCGGTCAATTCCACTTTCCAAGAAAAAACAATCTCGTCTTTTTCTACTGCATTGTACTTACCAGTGCAAAAGCTAAAAATGATACAGGTAAAAGGTCTTATTGCAGAAACTCGATGTTTGTGACCAAGCAAGTACAGTGAACTTAAATGAAAGCCCGATGGCACATTAGCAGTCTCATGCAAAACATCATATCTTATTATCTTGGCAACCAGTCCTCACAAAACTTTATCAAAATGTAAATTGAAGGTGTATGATAAAACCTCATGAAAACTGAACAGGTGAGAGTTTGTCATAAAAGAAGATCGAATATAAAAAAAATTAAAAGAAGAAGTAAAATTCAGTCACTTACCCTTCGTACTTGTATATACTGTAGTGTTGTCGTTTTTTTATTCTTGACAAGTGCTAGCGACGTGATTTTTCTCCGCGAAAACTTGCGTAGTTCCTGAAAAAGCTCACATGTTGTTTATTTCAAAAAAGTGTTCTGTTTTTCACTAACTACTCAAATTTATGGATGTCCATGACATCGTGGAACAAGAAGACAGCTCTGGTCGATTCTCACAAGCGTAACGTAGTATTTGACGACTGATAACATAATAACAAAAATAAAATGGTAAAGGAGAGGATAAGGGAAACGAATATTCAACCCACCTCTAGTTGTTCTCTTGTCAGCAGACAGAAAAAAACGAAATAAAATAATAGGAAACAGATGTTTTTGACTACAGATATCATAATTTAAGTGTGTTTTTCGATCAAATAACATTCCTGATCATTATATTTAATCCTAAATAAGGACGAGTAAGGCTATGTTAACATACCCGTAGAGCCTCTATTGCTGACTGTTAGACATATAAAAGAGTGTGATTAATGGTACCGAAGTTTTAGCAGGTTATAACTGGAATAGAAGCTTCTCCATAATCGCTACCAAAGTTTAACATTATAGAAAAAAATTATGATCTCCACGGTACCAAAAAACTGGGTTTGTCGCTATAAATCCACTCAAAGGAATTGACTCAAAAACTATATGTAAACACTTTTATGGCTGTGGTAAGGTATTTCCTTCTGTCATATAAATGTTAATTTTCCATATCTTTCAACAGCTACGT